TTCCCCTCAAAGTTAGCATCACCATCACTGAATCCTCACCATCAACATCCTGGAGGTTACTATTGATGTGATGTATCACATTCACCCGCTTCATCACCAATGGTCAATAGCAACAGAGTGCATCTCCAAAATGCACAGCAGGAATTCACCAAGCTCCTTAGGCAGCACCTCCCAAACCCACCGTACTGCCATCTAGAAAGACAACACCAGCAGATACATGGGAACACCGCCATCTACATGCTCCCCTCTAAGCCATTCACCACCCTGGTTTGGAAATACAGTAGCATTTCTATCATGATGCTGAGTCAAGATTCCTGACAGCATTGTGGGCCTACCTACACCAAATGGACTTTCAGCAGTTCAAGAGGGCAGGCATTCAGGGAGAGACAATAAATGCTGGCTTGACCAGCACCACCCATATCCTGTGAGTGAATAACAAAAACCATTGAGAATAGAGAGGAGCTATAATCCTGGATAGGTCAACAATTAATGATACCAGGGTGAACTGTACATCAGAAAATTGGACACTTCAAATGCATTACATGGAGATAAACTGCGGGATGGGGGTGGGGGGGAACTGGACGGTATGGAGTCACTGGACTGCTTGTTTGTTTCCTGGTGAGGAGATTAGAGCTAAGATTAAACCATAATGTGAGAATTTTGGGGTAAATGGAGTGAAATATTGTCCTCAAAAGAAAAATGCATATTGAAGCTACTCAGCTTTAAAATTTTCCACAGGACATTTTCTCTTCTGAACCAGTTACAATAAATCATGAACTAGTATAATGCCTGTAAACTACAATGGTATTAAAAGATTTACAGCCTGCAATTATAAAGTTGTTAGTAGTTTTTGAATATATTGTACAGCTTTGGTGACAGATCACTCTTACACTAGATCTGTTTCTTTATGGCTGGTTTTACTTTTCTTAAATCACTAAACTGGGAAGCATTATGAACTGAGAGGAGGGCTGTAGATCTTCCAAAATACATAGGCAAGTGGGTGGATGGAGAACAGGTGGCAGCTGAAATGCAATGCAAAAAAGTATGAAGTGATTCATTTTGATGGAAAGAAACAATATAAAATAAAGAGTACATTTCTGAAGGCAGAGGAACCTCAATGCCTATGTGCATAAATTGCTGAAAGTGACAAGCCAGGTTGAGAGAGCAATTAATAAAGTGTACAGTGTCCTGAACTTTATTAATAGGTACACAAAGCAAGGACGTTATACTAAACTTTTATCAAGCATTGGTTTAGCCTCAAATGGAGTAGTGTTCCCATTTCTGGGTGCCACAGTTTAGCTGAAGATGTGACGGTGTTAGAAATGTACAAATATGATTCATAAAAAATAGTTTCAGATTTGAGGACATTCCGTTACATAGATTGGAAAAGTTAGGGCTATTCTCCTTGAAGGGAAAAGATTGAGAGGATATTTCCTACAATAAAAGTGTCTGGAGAGAGTAGAGAGGGAGGGACTATTTCTACTGATTGTAGCATTGAGAACGAGAGAGCAGAGTTATGGCAATTAGCAGAAGAATTGGAGACAAATGGAGAGACTTTTCACACAGCGAGTGTTTAAGATTTTGAATGTATTGCCTGAAAGTATGGTGGAGATAAGTTCAATGGAAGCATTAAAGTGTTTGTATTATTTTTCTTTTTCTGTGCAAATACTTCATTCTATATTATCCACCACCAGGAAAGCTCCCATGTGGCTAGTGAAACATTAACAAGCAAAGCCTGATAAGGTCAATGCTTATATCAACAAGTGAAGGGGGAGGGTAGGGAAAGAATGAATTCACCAAGCTCCTTGGGCAGCACCTCCCAAACCCACCACACTTCCATCTAGAAAGACAAAAGCATGAGATACATGGGAACACCACCATCTACATGGAAAATAAAGCATTCCATTCCCACAGTGCCCATCTCTCCCAAAAGGCAGAGAGTATTGACGGACATCACGTTTCAGGGTGAAGGCTTATTTGGAAATCCAGTACAGATCCAACAGGCTGAATGGATATCCTGTGCTGTAATTATTCTATAATTCTGTACTTTCTCTAAGAGGAAGCATCTTAATCAAAGTTTGATGCAAGTCAACCACATCAGATTCTTTCAACATTCCTCCGTTCTTCGGTTCAGTAGTCTTTTTTCCCACTCGGTTTTGCTTTTACCAAATTGATTGCAGCCAGAATCTCTGTCAACAGCTTCTCTTCTGTCTACTTGGCTCATTCAACATCCCTCCACCTCATCTACATTCTGACCGCTGGCTGAGTCAGTGGAAGATATGTGGTCAGTATTCAAAATAAATGCTGATTATACCAAGCTCCTCTTTTGCTGCTACACCGTCTGTCCAACATTCAATACTGGAAGAGCCACAATTTCCCTTGATTAAACATTATGATGACAGAAAACGCTGCCACAAACCCTGTACCTTTACCAATGTCATCCATAAAGTTTTTGAGAAGATTTGTAATTTAAATTGTGGATGAGGATTTCGACATACTCACTGACCCAGTGGGTTTGGTTGAAAATGTTTCATGACCCTGCAAGGTAACGTCGTCAGTGTGCCTTCGGTGAAGCGTTGCTGTTTTGTCCCGCTTGTTATTTATATGCCTAGGTTTGCTGGGGTGGTTGGTATCACTTCCGGTTCTGATTCTCAGTGGTTTGTATATCGGGTCCAGTCCAATGTGTTTGTTGATGGAGTTCTAGTTGAAATACCAGGCCTCCAGGGATTCCCAGGCATGTCTCTGTTTGGCTTGTACGATTACGAATGTGTTGTCCCAGTCAAATTTGTGTCCTTCATTGTCTGTGTGTAGTGAGATAACTGAGAATTAGTTATGTCTCTCGGTGTTCATGTATCTGAAAAGTCAATTTTTTTCCAGGTTGGCCTCTGTAGTGATTCTCTTAGTCCTAGGGTGCTATTTTATAAATTACCTCAGTTTTGCCGATATTGGGTATGGGACCCTTTACATTTGTTATTAGCTGTCGCAGGGTGGATGTTGGTTTGTGGGTGATTAGTGAGTCTGGTCATGTTGTGTCCTCTTGTTATGGTCTGTCTCGGAGGTAACAGCAGATTGTGCTTTTCGAGTATCCATTCCTTTTGAAGACTCCGTATAGGTGCTCTTGTTCTGCTTTGTGTAGTTCCAGGTTGCTGCAATGTGTTGTGGCTCGTTTAAATAGTGCCCTGATGCAGCTCTGTTTGCGGGCATTGGGGTGGTTGCTAATGTAATTGAGTACGTGGTCCATACGTGTGGTCTTTCTATATACGCTGGTGTGTAGTTCTCCGTTGTTTTTGCGTTCTACCATTATGTCCAGGAAGGGTAGTCGGTTGTTGTTCTCTTCTGTGTCGACCTGCCTCTACTTCTATACTGCTCACATTCACCCCCAGTTCAGCCCATCTGCATATGAAATCCTTGTGCAAACTATTGTCACCTAAAAAACATCATTGGATATGGGAATAGTGCAAGAAATGGTATTGAAGTTGAGGATAAGCCATGATTAATTAACAGAGAAGCGGGTGCAAAGGGCTGAATGGTCTACTCCTATTTCTTATGTTTTTATGCCACTTCCGGGCTAGATTGTTCTAATCCTATCCTCATCAGCTTCCTGTATTCCATCCTCCTGAAACTTAGAGTCAATTAGAACTTACATACACTTGTCCTTTCTCCTATTTGTATTCTGCTTACTGGTTATTCCTGTTCAACTTCTTCAGTTTCAAATTATCATTTACCTGTTTAAATCTCACAGTAGCACATCTTGCCCTCACCTTTAACCTCCTCCAACCTTGTAGCACTCACCTGAACTCTGTATTCCACTGACTCCTGCAACCACACGTGCATCCCTTATCCCTACGTTCGTAACTGCTGCACCAGTCATTTTGGTCCCATGTTACGGAATGTCCTCCCTGTGGGCTCTTGCTTCTACACTCCACTCTGAGATCTTTGGATCTTGGCCAACATGCTTTATGTTTCCTCCTCATGCAGCCTCCTTGTGCTTTGGAATAGAATGGCTACAGGTTGAATGAAGCAAATCACATTTACATGTCTCTAGGCTGCAGCCAAATTCTAAATCAGACGTTGTTTGTCATTCTGATGAATCATACATAGAATCCCTAGTGTGGAAGCAAGCCATTCAGCCCATCAAGTCCACACCAAAGCTTCAGAGAGCATCCCTCCAGACCCTCCCCACCCCCACCCCCACCCCCTCTCACCCCTGTAACCCTGCATTTCCCATGGCTAACCCACCTACCTTGCACATCCTTATGGGCAATTTAACACGGCCAATCCACCTAACCTGCACATCTTTGGACTGTGGGTGGAAACCGGAGCACCCAGAGGAAACCCATGCAGACATAGGGAGAAGGTGCAAACTCCACACAGACAGTCGCCAGAGGCTGGAGTCGAACGTGGTAGAATGATAGTCCGCAGTTTTTTTTATTCAAGTCCTCGAGTGAGATTTGAACCCTCAAACTTCTGACACTGTGTGTTACCCAGACAAGCCACGAATAACATGTAAATGATAGAATCCCTATAGTGCAGGGAGAGGCTATTCGGCCCTTTCTACACAAACCCTCCAAGGGCATCCACCCGGATCCACATCCATTCCATCCCTGTAACCCCACATTTTCCATGGTTAACCCACCTAGCCTGCATTTCCCTGGACACTACAGGGCATTTTACCATGGCCAACCCACCTAACCTGCACATCTTTGGACTGTGGGAGGAAACCGGAGCACCCAGAGGTAACCCACGCAGACACGGAGAGAACGTGCAAACTCCACATGGACAGTTGCCCAAGGGTGGAATTGAACCGGGTCCCTGGAGTTGTGAGATGGCAGTGCTAACCAGTGAGCCACTGTCACCTCAAAGTAACCTGGCAGTGATGAGATTCACATCCACACCTCCAAAGAGACTGGGGCCTTAACCAAGTGCCTTAAACTGCTCGGCCGAGCTACCTATAAATCTAGGAAATTGATAAATCACAAGAACAGGCTCACAAACACCAATTAATTACAACACTTTTATTAATAATCATTAACTCAAGAGAGGCTAAATATTACAACACAGCAAATTGAATCAGATCTAAATCAATACACAAATTATATAAAACTATGCTTCCCTGATCACAATTGGCTTTACATATTATACAATTTGATAGCAACATCATACATGCCAGAAATTCGTAATGTTGATTCCTACACTGTTCCCCCAGGTTAGCACTTAGAAACAGTCCCGTACTGAAAATGGTTTAGTGGTTTAGGGGTAGAATGGTGGAATTAGTGCAATATTTAGGGGACAATTTTAAAAAAAAATCAAATCTACAGAATTTGTAGTGTGAAAGGAGAAAGGGAAAGAGAAAAGGATGCGTGTTCGTACATGCACGAAAGGGCAAACACAATTGCAGGAGGAAGGATCACATTTTTGTGTCGTGCCCTTGACAGGTGAAAATGCAAACACTTGGAGTGTGGGCATTGTCGAAATAGACCAGAGATTTATGAAGCAAGGGTCAGTGCATCTCCAGAGTGAGGAAAAACTTGGCAAGATGTATAAATAAGGGTGGTTTACAGATTTCAGGGGAAGTTTTCTGCAGGAAAGGCTTTATAATTGTTATCAAATCCTAACAGGTTTAAAATCCTGTACAGTAACATTGTGTGTGATTATTGATTGATTGCCAAAGAACAGCAATTATTTACAAAGGAGAATATGCAAATAGAGAGAGCACGAGAGCAGACTGACCTTAGAACAGGTAACAAAAAAAACTTTTCTGACAGTTTGTACGGCACAATACACGGAGAGAATTTAAATGCATCACTTTAGCCAGTTTCAGTCTCCGGTACCATTCCAAAATTCTTGGACTGCAATGTCTGAATCAAAGTTTTTTCTTAGTTTGTTGACAGCATTGGTGGATTTTATAGGGAAGGTGCCATCAATACCAACCCTCAGACTGAAAAGCCAGGGATTTGTGGGCGGAATGGTCAAGGTGGGGTTTCCACTCGTGACGTTCACAGCTACTCTGCAGCAATTCAACACCAATGTTAATTGTATTACAGACAAAACTTTCACCTATCTCAATAGGAAGTGCCACTTTGGAGAGCTGCAGATCTATCAGAAGGCAACTGTCAATTGGTCACTTTAAGGTTCCAGTTAGGCCAAGGCGGACAGGCTGAAGATTTCAGACAGGCAGGCTGAACTGGCAGCAGGAAGTCCTCATGCTTTATTTTATGACCTTCACTTTCAAACCTGCAAGCAGAAGTGTAAAATCCAACCCTAAGTAATTCACTATCTCCTGTGCATTTATTAACAAGTAACCAATTAACTATAGTTATACCTTTGTGTTTAGGAGATCCCAAGAAACTTCACAGCCAAAGTAATTTTGTAGTATAATCAATGTTAAAAATTTCCTCCACTTAAATATTGGAAAGACTAAAACCTTTGTCTCAAACTCACTCACTTTTTTTTTTAAATTGATTCCATTCCTTTCTCCAGCTATAGTCTGAGGATGGACTTTGTTTTCTATTTAGCCCAGAGAAGACTTTCCACATCCTCTCCTTCATCAAGATTTCCTAATTTCACATCCAGAATGACCTCAGTTGTTCTGCTGTAGAAACTCTCAAACATTTGTTCATTTAGACTGGACTATTCCAGTGCTGTGTCGGTTGGCATCTTATTTCAGTTTGTCCAAAATTCTCATCCTCATACACAAACTCGTACCAAGTTCCATTGAACCATCCACCCTGTGCTCATAACCTACATTGTCATTCACTTCCTCCAAATCCATCAACATTTGGAATTTTAAAAAAAATCTTAATCTCATTTTCAAATTTACTCCATGGCCTCAACTCAACCAGATCTCTCTAGCCACCTCCTGCCCGGCAACTCCACAAAATCTTTGCACTTTTTCAATTCTAATTTCAAGTATTCGCATCATTCATCATTCCACTGTTAACACCAATGCCTTCAAGCTCCAGAATTCCCTCCTCAAACCCTTCCATCCTCCTATAAGACTCTCTGCAAACAAGCTTTCGATCAAGTCTTCATCTCTCCATTTGAGAGTCCGTGACAAATATTTGTTCCTGTGAAACACCTTGGGACATCTTGTTACTTTAAAAAGGTGCTATTTAAATGCAAGCTGCTGTCCTAACTAGGTAAGATCAAATGCAACTCAAGCTCCACTTTGAATCCAAGGTCCTTCTTTAGTTTGAATTGCATTGCTTTAGCCAACTCGTTACATTGTGGATGATAGGCTAAATATAGGATGATTCAAGTTTTGTCTTGGCATGGGTGGGAAGTATCGTTTTGCCACACCAAATTACAAAGATATCAACACAGTCAATTCAACAAATCTCCCAGCACAACTGTTCTCCAGATAGCAGCTACTTTTAAGTTCTGAAGAAAGCAGAGTAGTCCACTACCTTGAAAGTGATCTAACAGAATTGATAACCAGCTCTTTATCGAATCTGCTAACCTTTATTCCATTAAATTCAACAAACTGAAAATCCAATGGATCTCCCTTATTATTTATGGCAAAGTATTCTGTATTCTTGCAAATGGTGTTTCTCAGATTATCTGATCAATATCCCTCCACTTACAACATCTCTATTAGATTTAATCATAGAATCCCTACAGTGTGGAAGCAGGCCATTTGGCCCATCAGGTCCACGCTAGCCTCTGAAGAGCATCCCAGCCAGACCCACTGTCCTACCCTATCCCTGCAACCCTGCATTTCCTTATGCTCATCCACCCAGCCTGGGTAATTTAGCAGGGCCAGTCCACCTAACCTGCACATCCTTGGACTTTGGAAGGAAACCAGAACACCCAGTGGAAAGCCACGCAGACACGGGGAGTATGTCCAAACTCCACACAGACAGTCGTCCAAGGATGGAATCAAACCTAGATCCCTGGCGCAAGGAGGCAGCAGTGCTAACAACTGAGCCACCGTGCCACCCCTATAAACTAAAACAAGACTAATCATCACCTATCACAAAGCCAAAAATTCACTGGGGTCTGCAGAATGAAACTTAGTGAGAATATGAAGGACATATTGCTCAGTAAGTGAAGATCCCACCAAACTGCACATTCTCCACGTGTTGAAGTGGTATAATTTATAAAACATAGAAGAAAATATCTTAGCAACTGAATTTGTTTAATGATAAATATCATCCAAAGATATTATTTACAAAATGATACAACATACAGGATTCACTGCATACCAATAATCCTTGCAAAACATGACAGTGTCATTTGGCTCTGATTTAAAATGAAAAAGCTCCTAATAGTACAGTGGTTTTATCAGCATCTATGAATTATAAAAAATCAAGTCAAGGTATGCTATCAAATATGAAGCATAATCACTAATAGTCTAATGCAAATTATAGATAGATTTTAGCTCAATTGGGAGTGGGAAAATCAAAAGAGATTACAAATTTCAAAAAAGATTACAAATTAATACAATCATGGAGATATCTCAAAATCAGCATGTGAGGAAACCAGCATCACCTCTTCTCTATTCTCAGCATTAATTTACTGCAAGTGCAAAATTAAGATCAGCAGAAGACCTTCAGGAAATCACATCTCAAATAGACTCTTTTTCTAGACATGCACTGTACTGCTTACTCTATAGTTCATGCCAATGTGTTAAAATTTTGTAATTCAGTTGCAAAATCATTCGAATTATAGGATCATAAGGTCATTAGTTTGCTCACCATGCCTTCCAGTATGTACAAAACTCTTAAACAAATTACAGCTACGTGGGGCCAGATTTCCCAAGCTTGGGCATGGGTTTGTGTCAAGTTAGCTGAAGCTAAGCAGAACATGTGAGTGGCCTCGATACCTCCACCCTAAAAGGAGCAAAGGAAGAAGCTTTTTGTTTAGTGTTTGCTTGTTATCCAGTGAATAAAGTCTTGAAAAGCACCTATGGAATCAGTTCTGATTATGATGCTCTGCATGGGTGAATAATTATAGTGTTTTGGTTTACTCTCGGATACTTATTATATACAAAAACAAACATATCCCACCAAAGGTCAGTGCCCTCAAGGGAGGAAACTGGGAAGAGAGAGTGGAAAGCAATTCAATTCCATATAAACCAGTATGATCCTCCTTAAATTACAATCCACCCCCACTCGAACCTGCAAGTCAGTCAATAACTAATTTCAAATGCTCACCTCAGAGTTTAAGAAAATACAGTCTAAATGAAATAAGTACAATTTGATTAAACAATAAATCTATTCTCCTTTTGGCTACTTAAAATTGGCCATATTTTCTAGAATCTACATCTTTTAGGCTGGAGCCTATGTACAGTTTATATAAACATTCTCAAAATTTAACATCTTTTAAAAATCTTATCGTGGAGATAAATTATGCAAGGCGATATATTCTTAATCCATAATACAATAATGCAGATAAATCATACAGGGCAGTATAGTCTTAAACATAATATATACAAGATAATATGTTATAAATATAATACTTTTCATTTAAATGTTATCTAGTGCTGGGCAGTTGATTGGTACAGAAGCATGGGGAGAGGGGGAAGAATGGATCTGAACTTGTAGCATGAGATGGATTGATGTTGAATAGGCTTTAATGGGAAAAGAAATTGAGTGTGCTGTAAAATGGGTGGCTGATTAGGTAAATCCATTTACCACTGCTAGCGAAGACCACTGTATCACTGAGCATGCCCATCTCATTACACCCCTCATTTCCAATAGCTGCAAATTATATAGTTAAATAATTAAGAGACCATGGGGATGCCATGTAGTGCAGTGGGTAACATGCCTACCTCGAAGCTAGATTCTTTGGGTTTGAGTCCTACTCTGGGACTTGATGGCCACACAAGGTGTGCTCATAATGTGGCTTAACAAGTCGATTGTCAAGCTGCAAATCCTTCCCATATGCCTATGGAAAGATAGTTAGAACAGGACCGTCTCCCAGTCAGCCATGCTCAACGTGGAGTGGTGGCTCCTCAAGCCGTAGCCTCTGGTAACAAGCTAGTGACTGGTTTCAGGAAACAGAAGACATAAGCACGTACTTTGTTTCCAACAGACACGAGAAAGCTGCAGAGTCTAATTAAGAGGCCCCAACTGGAAAGAATGTGAAGATTAGCGGCAGAGAGTTACAGTAAGCCACTGTTCCATCATCTGCAATAGATCACTTGTAACTCAATGATTGGCTAATGCTTAAAACAGAGAGGAAACAATTGAAAGGGCTCCATAAAATAATCAACCGTGCAATAATTTTTTGTCCAGTTCTATGAATTTAATGAACTAACAATAAATTTTAATTGTCATTGTACTAGATGAAACCACATTGGTTATAGTGGTTTCTATAAAGTGGAGCAGGGAAAAGGATCTGTAAGGTACATTATGCCTTCATATACAAATTTAAAAATAAGTGTGTGCACAAAGGTTATGAAATAAACCCTAGGTTTGGAGGATTGCATATATTACTTTAGCATGTAACCACTGTGACTATTCCAGTCAACTGTAAAGAGTTAATGGAAGATACTTTTATGGAGATGCAGCCCATTTAAAAACTACTCTTATTTACAGTGGTCTAATGGTCTAAATGGTCTAATGATAATTTACAACGATTTGATTCTCAGGACATTGTATAACAAGGTACAAATTTATCTTTGGTAGTTGTATACGACCAGATATGCAGCAGCACTCACTTTAGGTCCACTTTATGCTATTGCCTAAGGTGAATTCCACCTTGGTGAATGTTTGTAATGTAAAACTTTAGCCCTCTAAACCATTTGCTAATCAAAAGATGGACACGTTACTTATCAGAGATCTTGGATGTCTGGAACTGGGAAAACAGTGGGAAAGCATGTGTCTTATAAGGAATAAAACACTATACAGGTAGTGGTAAGTAACACAGAAGCCGAAAGCCTATAACTTGAGTTCAGCTGACAGATTTACGCAAACTACACCCACATTGATGGAGTCGCAAAACATAAAAACAGTGAAATATAAACAAAACAATAAAATATGTATAAGCTGAGATATGAATCTAGTAGTCAAGGTACATCACAAAAATTATGGAAAGAATCTATAAATATATAGACAGCTATTGTTATTTTGAAATAGAACAGAACTGACCAATAAATCCATTCAGAGGTTTAAAACTTAGAATTTTAAACCAAAGGATTTGAAGTGGCACTGCAAACGTTCCACTTTTTTTCAAAAAGTTTCAACTAAAATGAATCAAAGACTTAAATATATAGCTCACAACTGCATTGATTTGGCATAAGAATATTGCATTGATCCTAAATGTAAGGAGATGAGGTATGAATACTTATGTATGCAATTTTCAGTTCACCACTTCACAAGAAACTGCAATTTATCTAAATATGATCCCCCTCAGTCTGAAGTTACTTCTGGTATTAACTTTATCTTTGGTCATTTTCAGCTTTGCATGGCTGATGTCTCTGCAAATTTCATGATTCCATTAAGAAATTCAATCCCCTATCCCAAAGCTAAATTTAGCTTTATAATTCTTATTTTAAAAAAAAGAATAATTTGTATTAATATACATTATTTCTCTGAATAACTTTGATATTTAAAAAAAATGTAAAATTTCAATTCATGTTTAAATTAATAGAATTACCTTAAAAACAGTAATTACACGCATTGGCTATTTATCAGGGTACTGCTCTACTGAAGTTCTAAACTAGATGTATCCCAAACTTAGTGGTTGCAAACAACTGCAAAGTGGTTCATAGAAAATAGTTTGCTCAAATGGAAGAAGTTTGTCAGGAAGCATGGTTTGCGTGGAATGCATAATTCCACAAGTTTTCAAGCAGTTCATTTCCATGCGGCATGCTGGTGCATAAGAAAAACATACGAACGCTTGTATAACAACAATATCTGCAGGTGACATGACACTGACAGGAAGAATTGCTACGTGTGTGTGGAAGGAGGCTCCTTCTCATGGTCAGATCTGGTCCCCATGGTGGATAGAGGGTTTCATCTCTAAGCCGGAATTGAGATCATCCTGAAAGACAGAGGCCTGCATTTCCCAGTTGAGTGATAGCATGCTGGGCCAGAGGTGACGCTGGTATGCTTCGCATTTGGAAATCAGATCCCTCACAGAAGTATTGCTCCGGATCCACTTCTTCACTGAGGTGTAGGGAGATGGTCTCTCTGATATGAAAAGGCTTTGGGTCCTTTGTAACTTTGTACTGCATTGCAGCCTAGAATGGAAAAGAGGCAACAAAATGACTTGCTTCTGCTCATTTTCGGTTGTTTGTTTAAAGTGGTTAAACAGGCATGAACATAGAAATTGAGCCACCTTCTTATCCCACTTTCCCTTTTAAAAAATACCACACATGGAAAGCTCCACTACAAAGGATGGGCCCCATACTGCTCCATGAACTAATGTACCATCCAATTCATTGGAATTAGAATGAGCTTTATTGTCACATGTACTCAAATGAGTACAATCAAAAGTATACAAGTTGCTGCTTTTGGCGCCATCTTGAGTACAAAAGTTCTGAAGAAGGGTCACCGGACCCGAAGCGTTAACCCCAATTTTTTTGTTTCTTCACTGATGCTGCCAGACCTGCTGAGCTTTTCCGGCAACTTCTGTTTTTGTTCCTAATTGACAGCATCCATCAGTTTTTTTCGGTTTTTATTGGGTACAAAAGTCCCTAGGTACAGCTGTTTCAGTTGCAGTTCTTGGAAAAATAGGGAAGTAAAAAAAGTCCAGCATTGCAGATGTTAGGAATAAGTTATAAAATTGAGAGAGAAAAAAAAAAATCACACAGTTCCTAACAATGGTCTTCCACTGAGTCCATGCTGGCACCTAGCCTCCAGTTCGCAAAGGGCCTAGATTCCAAACGACAGTGGGCTTCACTAGGCCCAGAGACCACTCTGGTATCACCTCAAGGCTGTAAGTCCACACGAGGCCATGTCACCGCTACATACTGCCTGAACACTACCACACTTTTAAAAAGGAAATGGTTCCAAGTTTAATTTCTGGCAGTGAGTTAGGTGACATCAGACTGGGGTGGGAGGCAAGCATTACCCAGGAGGTTCTATATTTCATCTCACAGGTTGCTAAGAATGTTAAAAAAAAAGGATAATCTGCGCTGAGTTGCCAAAAAAAGAAATTACCATGGATCGGTGACAGAATTCCCAATGATGATGATGCCAGGGAAAATTCCACAGGAAGGTGGGATTGAGAAGCGCTGAACTTAGAATCAACTTGACTTAAGGCACTCACCCCATCGCACGTACAGCATTAGTAGTGGTGGGCACGGTACAAAACCAAATGGAAACAAACAACAGAAAGCCAAGTATGACCAAAGACTAATTTACAGTCATAAATAAAAGTAATGTTTGTTGTATAGAGTTCAGTTGATCTAGCCAGAATAGTAGTTTGAATGCTACAACTGATTTCAGCTCATCTGAAAGGGGAGAAAAAGAACAAAAAACACAGTCAGTACATCCTGGCTCACTACCTAGTGATTCTGAAGTTAGAATGACTCTTTCTATGTCCAAATCCCATTTACAAATGGAGATGTCAAAGGACTGAAAAATTGCCCAGGTAGAAAAATGTATACGTCTATGTGGAAAACTTTAAACATCCAAAACTGCAGTCAATCTTTGTGTAGTTATTCGATGATCAACTGTCAGTACCTTGTTGAAAGATGATGTCCCAGTTTTGCCTTAGCATTCGTAGCAATGTACCACAAAATATTGGCAAACTGGCCTTTCATCCAGTCAATGTCTTCTGGCAGATCAGGCAACCATTCTAACATTCTGTCAAGTACAAAGAGACAAGCTTCATTAAATGCCTGCATGCATTTCCTTATAGTAAGCCATCAGGGGAGTGTAGATAATAAATTATAAGCTATAAAATAAAATAAAATAAAATAAAATAAAGGTATAAAGCACCCCTTGATCTCATGCTAAGTGATAATTTTGCATAACACACATTCCAGAAATGCCGTGGTGACATACAATACCAGACATTCCAGTTCGAGTCAAGTACTTTTTAACTTAAATTGACGTCATGACAGTGTAGTTCTCTTCTCTTGGAAGAGGCAAAGAATACTGCAGTGCAAGATAGTTTGTGATCTAAATCAGCATTGTTCAAAAAAGCAAACCGTGAAGACAACCTGTAGTTTATAAACATAGCCCTAGACAGCTCAACTAATATTGTTTGTTTGTAATATTTTACTACATTGAAGATGAGCGAAAAATACAAGTTATGGTTTTATATGAAAACCATAAAAGGTAACAGATTCGGGGGGAGGAAAAAAAGAAAGAGTTTAAAGTAGGGAAATGTAGTTTATTAATTAATTCACGTTCTGCCCAAAGACCAATTGTTTGCTAATGCTTCAGCTTGAATGTTTCGATTTAATGATAGTTTAACATTGCCTTCCACACTCAGGCACAGTGAGGAGGCAGATGGCAAGTCTATCTCAGCTGGAATGGGAATTGAACCTGCAATTGTTAATATCAGATTGAATCACACATTAGCCACTGAGCCAACTAAATTAACCAGTCCTAGATGTAATTAAAACTTTTAAAAAGTGCTCTGGTTATCCCAACAAAAATATTGCTCCAATATAAACCATGATGGGCAATTTTGATTTAATTTGATTTATTACGGTCATGCGTACTGAGGTACAGTGAAAAGTGTCGTCTTACATGTTTTACAGGCAGATCGGTTCATAACTCCAGAAAAATTTCAGGCTCCCTGAGCCAGCTGATTTTCTCTTAATTTCCAACTAATGCAAGGTACTACTAAGAAACTGTTTAGTTATACGGTATGAAACCAGATAAATAAATACTTATGAATTATAATTCCATATCTGCTTGTCTCCATTTCTCCTCCTGGAAAGTTAGCTGCAGTACCTTTGGACAGCTATGTAGCATGTAGCTCTGTGCAAACCAAAACTTACTAGGGCTGAGTCTACAACTGGTGTTGAAGCTGGTGTTGAATAGGAACTTGAGCCAGAGACAAAATGATACTATTGCATTCTGATCGTCTAACCAGTGCTCCGGGAGCAAAGCATCAGGAAACTAGCACCTTTCATTTTTCCATTTCTACGAGTTAGACACCAGTTATTCTGATGTCCTTCACCTAGAAGGGAAGCTGGTAATGGCCAAACGAGGCAGACTAACTTCCACTGATCAGATATATTTATGACCTTGCTGTACAGGCCAGAGGAATGATTCCTCACACTGATTACGGAACAATAAAAATTGCAAACTTACTTTATGGTGAACGAGATTGCAGATTCCAGAGGCAAGGTATAAGGAAGCATAAGAATCGAGGCTAGGCGGACTGGCAGCATGTTTGAAAAGACTGCACGAAACCCTCGTTGGTCAGCACAGGCTTCAATTAGTGCTGGAGTTTAAAAAAAAAGACAATTGCAAAAAGTCAGTCAACTTCCTAGCAGAGCAGATTGACACACACATGTACGTAGATTTTGTTTTGCACAGGTGAGAATGTGGTGAAGGAGAAAGAGCAAAGGATCTTCAAGAAACTGCATGGCACAGAAGGGTAGGATATTTCTGTTACATATACGTGGCTGGGTTCAGATCCATCTCAGAATACTGGAATGATTTGAGGACTTTGGATGGAGTGGAATCCTACCATTCAGTCTCCAGTGAGCTCAAAATACAATTCAACTCCTATCTTGGAACAAATTTACACCGATCGGTCACAGGATGGCTGGTTGGTACAGGAAATCGAAAAACTCATCTTCTGAAGCTGAGAACTTGAGGTTTACCTGTTGGGGAACAGTAGGAGAGATCTGTGCCAACACTGATGCAAACAATATGGAAAAATATTCCATTGTGCAGTACAAATGTCATGGTGTCAATAATTTGAGAGATTCAAGTTCTGAGTGGGACAGCAAAGAAGTAAAGCAGAATGTGATGGATGGAAAAGTTATTGGCTGGCTGCGTTTTCTTTGAAAGGTTGAAATCATGAGCTGGCAAGAATGAAATGAAAATTGCTGGCTATGTGAACACACCTTTGGATTCTCTGTAAATAACCTTCACCTGAACAAGGTTGGTACATTAGGAAGATAATGTCTCAGGGAAATAAGTAACCTGATTTATCCTGCATTTTTAAATTTCAGCAATTCAACAGGAAGGGACAGAATGTAACATCTGAGCTGGTGACACAAAGATTCATACAGCATGGAAATAGACCCTTTGGTCCAACTTGTCCATGCTGACCAGATATCCTAAACAAATCTAGTCCCATTTGCCAGCATTTGGCCCATATCCCTGTAAAACCTTCCTATTTATATACCCATCCCGATGCCTTTTAAATGTTGTCATTGTACCAGCCTCCACCACTTCCTCTGGCAGCTCATTCCATACACGCACCACCCTCTGCATGAAAAAGTTGCCCCTTAGGTCCCTTTTAAATCTCTCCCCACCCTAAACTTATGCCCTCTAGTTTTGGATTCCCCTACCCTGGGGATAAGACCTTGGCTATTCACCCTACCAATGCCCCTCATGATTTTATAAACCTCTATAAAGGTGACCCCTCAGCCTCAGACGCTCCAGGGAAAATAACCCCAGTTTATTCATCCTCTCCTTATAGCTCAAACCCTCCAACCCTGGCAACGTCCTTTTCTTTTTCTGTGTGAAAAACTGACAAGTTTACAAGACTTAGATCTATTTTGACAGAGTTCAGAAAGTCACCAGCATCGAGAAGTATAAGCAACGAGGGTTTAAAACTGGTTTTTGTCTTTAAGCCCCCAACTTCATTTGTAATCCCATAGCGACTTTTCTGAAAGCCCAGGAAGTAGAAAACCGCTTGGTGGTGCATTAAGCCTTTTGAACAGATAATCTCATCACACAGAATAAATAACCTAATTCAATTAGCCCCAGGTCAACGAGTGGCTTAAAATGCAAATATTTTAATGTAAATAAGCAAATCAAAGCAAGCTGTTTTTGCATTGCTATTATAGAACAATTACATCAACTAGTCGTCCTCCTCCAATAGTCCAACATTAAACCCATCACGGGCTGGCAGCACGTGTGAAGGGAAAAACAGAGTTAACGTTTCGGGTCCAGTTCCGAGGAAGGGTCACCGGACCTGAAACGTTAATTCTGTTTCTTCCTACAGATGCTGCCAGACCTGCTGAGCTTCTCCAGCAACTTTGTTTTTGCTCCCGATTTACAGCATCCGCAATTCCTTCGGTTTTTATTACCCCCTTCATTCTTGCCACACCACTAGCTTTCCTTTTCCCTGCCAAGTGCTTGAATATCCTCATTCAGATTTCTATCAGTGTGGCAGCACTTAAAGGGCCCTCGCTGCCATCATTAAATGCATCCTGTGTAAGGGTGGTGCACTATCCCTCCTTATCCTTGATCACAGTTATTCACAAAATCCTGCACTCCTCATGTCCCCTGTTGTCCAACTCAATGAGACCATCTTTATTCCGTTACATTCGTACCTACCAATTGCTGCAGTGCATCTCTAGCCATGGCCTCTTTTCAAACTCTGGGACCAGTACTGCCGTCTTTCCTTGCTCAGCTCCTTGATCCCCAGCCTAGCTGTCAACCCAGAGATATATCATGGGATTAAAGTTCCAAATAATCTGACAGAAATCAACTTTACCACATCACCAACAGTGAGGCCAACTAAAGGAGCTGGACCGAACAGAACAGACAAAAAAAAACGTTCAGTCCACAGTCTAGCAAGCTAACTGATTCAGCTAGGGCTGCAGTATAAGTGCAGAAATCCGCTTCGTGGACCTTGGATTATTATTGACAGTGTCAATCCCCCACCTGCCAAACAAGCACACATGGAAAAATGAGTAAAGACAGCATTGGGACAGGCTAATCTAGAGTAGGCATCGCAGTGAAAACCAACAGCGTCTGGATGAGAACAGACATTTACCCCTTGAGCTGTCAGCTTACAGGAAGCAGTGAGCCACGCTTTGGAAGAGAAGCAGATCTTTCAGCCGATCTAACCATTCCATTGGATCTAGAGTAACTTCACTCACCTTTGTGCAGCTGCGGTGACAGATGTGCCAGGATCTGGTCATCCTTCTTACTGACCCGGTCTAACAGTTGAACAGTTAAATCTTCCTCAACGTCATCAGCTGTATCGCATTCACCTGAAGCTGACTGGGAAGGACTGCGCAAAGGTTGTCGCTGGTTCAGCAGAGCTGCGGAGTTGGAGTGGAAGAAGTGCCGTTAGTTAGGACCCTTTTCATGTGGAAAAGGCTGCTCTTGGGGTGTTGAAAGAAACAAAAGCAAACATGTTTACGTTGGTTTTACTGACCCGCGGAAAAACATGGATCAATTCAGTTCGGGTTGGAAACATTGCAGGAAAAAGCACATGGCAATTTGACCTCACACCAGAAATAACTTTAAATATCCATTTTGCAGAAGGGAACTCCAATAAATAAGAAAATACTGGCTTTCAATTATTTGAAGTCATGCAGAAATGCCTGGGTGTGGTTTGTGACTAAACAACTAGTTGAGATACAGATGACTCATCCATTCTCTGTGGCTTTGGCAAGACAACACCAGTGACAATTTGCATTGATGAAGTATCTGGGATGAGGAATATTTGAAGAAAGAGAAAATAGGAGCAGTAGGCCATTGAATATGAACATGGCTGATTATCCAATTCAATACCCTATTCCTGCTTTCTCCTCATAGCCTTTAATGCCTTTAGCCCCAAGAACTATATCTATCTCCTTCTTGAAAGCAATGCTTTGGCCTCAAGCACTTTCTGTGGCAGAGAATTCCACAGACTCCCCACTGTCGAGGTGGCACCGTGGCTCAATGGTTAGTGCTGCTGCCTCACAGCACCAGGGACCCTCAGGCGATTCCACCCTCAGGTGACTGTCTTTGGGGAGACTGTGGGTTTCCTCCCACGGTCCAAAGATGCGCAGGCTAGGTGGATTAGCCATAGGAAACGCAGGGTTACAGGAGTAGGGTTGGGGATGGATCTGGGTGGGGTGCACTCCAGAGGGTCGGCATGGATTCAATGGGCCAAGAATCTGGAACCCCAGCTCACTTCCTTTTTAGAATATACAATTCGAGCTCACTTGAAATACTTTGTCTCCTGTCCAGCAGGAACGGTGCAGCCCTTCCACACAAAAGCCTTCACACTCTCTCTGTGACTTCAAATATAAAGTCACTTATTGTGGGATGCCCAGGCAAACAATAAACCCTTTTATTATTACCAAACGTAGAACATAGATTGTGTCCTGTTCACTACAGAAAATATATCATTAGCCGTGCCATTCAAACTTTATATTGGACTCACCTCCCAAGCAAGTTATTCTCAGAAGCGCAAGGTATTAAATAAATACAAATATCACAGACTCTAGACAGTTCACCAAGGGCTGGATCTGGGTGGGATGCTTTCCAGAGGGTCAGTGCTGACTCCATGAGCCAAGTGGCCTCCATCTGCATTGTAGAGATTCTATGGTTAAACACCCAAACCAATCAGAAAGGGAGCCTTTTGAAATTATCTTATTCTAGAGCATAGAATGAATACTTAAGGACTGTTTGGATGGATTGGGACTTCTTTTTTCTCCCCTGGAGTGTTGGAGTGACCTTAAAGAGGTTCAAAGTCGTGAGGGGCATAGGTAGGGTGAATAGCCAAGATCTTTTCTCCCCAGGGTAGGTGAGTCCAAAACTAAAGGGCATAGGTTTAAAGTAGGGGGGTGGGTGGGAAAGATTTAAAAGGGACCTGAGGGGCAACCTTTTCACACGGAGGGTGGTGCGTGTATGGAATGAGCTGCCAGAGGAAGTGGTGGAGGCTGGTACGATTACAACATTTAAAAGGCATCTGGATGGGTATATGAATAGGGAGGGTTTAGAGCAATATGGGCCAAATGCTGGCAAATGGGCCTGGATTAATTTGGCTGGCATGGATGAGTTGGACCGAAGGGTCTGTTTGCTGCTGTGTGACCACACCTGGAGTATTGTGTGTAGTTTCAGTCTGCTTATCTGAGGAAGGATGTTCTGGCTAAGGAGGGAATGCAATGAAGATTTGCCAGATTGATGCCTCGGATGGCAGGACTGGCATATGAGGAGACATTGGATCAATTAGCTCCATATTCACTAGAGTTCAGAAGGATGACTAGGGATCTCCTATAAAATTCTAACAGGACTAGACAGAGTAAATACAGGAAGGATGTCCCAACACCAGGGATTACTGTCTGAACATACAGGGTAGACCATTTAGGACTGAGATGAGACGTTTCTTCACTCTGATAGAATTTCTAGTGTGGAAGCAGGCCTCTTGGCCCATTGAATCCATGCCGACCCTCTGGAGTGCACCCCACCCAGATCCATCCCCAACCCTATTCCTGTAACCCTGCGTTTCCTATGGCTAATCCACCTAGCCTGCGCATCTTTGGACCGTGGGAGGAAACCCACAGTCTCCCCAAAGACAGTCACCTGAGGGTGGAATCACCTGAGGGTCCCTGGTGCTGTGAGGCAGCAGCACTAACCATTGAGCCACGGTGCCACCTCGACAGTGGGGAGTCTGTGGAATTCTCTGCCACAGAAAGTGCTTGAGGCCAAAGCATTGCTTTCAAGAAGGAGATAGATATAGTTCTTGGGGCTAAAGGCATTAAAGGCTATGAGGAGAAAGCAGGAATAGGGTATTGAATTGGATAATCAGCCATGTTCATATTGATTAAAAGCATACATATTGGTGATATATTGTCTTGCCTGAAAACTCTGACAATGGCACCTGCAATGGGAGAAACAGGGCTACAGGCAGATTCAAATGATGTCACAAACCACATAAGCTCAATATTAAGAGCTATTTCGTTTAGTCCCAAGTAGTATAGCCAGAGGGCACAGTCTATCTCGAGGGGAGATCACTTTAAAACCAATCTGCAGTAAACATACTTTGAGTGTCTGTGGTTCGTTGTTGCAAATTCTTTAGGGAGATCATGGGAAAAAAGATTACATTAATTCATTCAAACTTTGGGCCACAGTATACAAGTAATTTGAGCCATGAGTTTTGCTGAATCAGCCTAGCTTCGGAGGTTGGCAAACATGTCCACCAGATGCTAATTTTCTGTCCACTCACTTTAATGGATGGAAAACAGAGTCTTTTACGATTCAACGGGAGCAGATTCCCCTTGAAGTTTTAGGTAAAGTAGAATTGGGAGCTATTTGTATCTGAACACATTTCTGTATTCTCAGAAAGCAACCACAGCCTGAACCAAGGCAAGAACAATACAAAAGATTAAAGGAAAGGGAAAAGTAAATAGACTATCCCAACAACTGTAATTTCATCATCCCAACATATCAGGTAAAATAAGCAGGCACGTTTTCAAATTGAATCGATTTTGATAGAATTTGCAGAGACATCAACAATATGACTCATGAACAAATTTAAATATACTGAGCTCCCCAGAAGTCCATTGTGTATAACCATTGCTCTGTATAGCATTAAATCATATGGACCAAATAATCTTAGGTTTCTGGTCCATAGACTGTAATTTACTAACTGAACTCATTGAGGCTACAGTTACTTTCAACCAGAATTCTGTTCTTCAGCACAATACAATGCCATTTGCTGCAGGAACAGAAGTGAAAGTTAAATTATTCTGCTTCCTGGTCAATTGCATCTGTTGAGATATTTTGCACTACATTCAATTCATCTCTTTGCAATAAATTAGTTTTTTGGTTCAGCTATTTCTAAACAGATTGATATTGTTGACTGAAAAACTGGAGAAACTCAATGGGTTGGCAGAACCTGTGGAGAGAGAGGAAAAGAATTAACAATTCAAATTGAATAGACCTAACTCCTCTTCCTCCGAGAGTCATGTTTGACTCAAAAATCTTAATCCCACACTCTCTACGATGCTGTCAAACCTGCTGAATATATCCAGTACTTGATTTTTATTTCAGATTTCTAACATGTACAGAATTTTCACAGAATCAGAATCCCTACTGTGTGGAAACAGGCCCTTCAGCCCGACAAGTCCACACTGACCCTCAGAGCATCCCACCCAGATCCACGCCCCTATAACCCACCTAATCTACACATCCCTGAACACTATGGGCAATTTAGCATGGCCAATCCAGCGAACCTGCACATCTTTGGACTGTGGGAGGAAACCCACGCAGACACGGGGAGAAGGTGCAAACTCCACACGGACAGTCGCCCGAGGCTGGAATCAAACCTGGGTCCCTGGCGCTGTGAGGCAGCAGTGCTAACCACTGAGCCACATTTTGTTTCATAGTCTTGACCTATAAACAGAACTGCAGTGTTCAAAAGGTACAAGTAGCTATAGACTGTGCTTTGCTAAAATTTATGTTGAAAAAGTCCCACTGAAAAAGAAAACAGCAAAAAGCCTTTAGTTCTGAATGTGGCAGGAGGGCAAGTAAAAATGACACAAGTATGAGATAGTAGGAACTGCCGATGCTGGAGAATCTGAGATAACAAGGTGTAGAGCTGGATGAACACAGCAGGCCAAGCAACATCAGAGGAGCAGGAAAGCTGACGTTTTGGGCCTCGAACCTTCTTCCTGGCTTTGGGGTGCTATTGCTTAGCATCACCACAAGGTGGCAAAAATCAGCTTGGAAGCAAGCTTCTGGTAACAAAGTGTATTGATAAATTAAGTTGAAAAGCCTTATTACTCGAATTAATTACTGAGCACAATCCTTCATCTCTCTTTCACTTCCCAAAAGTCCACATTATGATCCTTAATTGGAAGGTATGGGGTTATCAAGGCTATTCGTAAATATCATCTATGCCACAATTCGGTTGCTCCAATCGCAGGCAGATTTAAATGTGAAATTACATTGCCCTTTCCCCTTCCAAGGAGCCACCTTTTCTCTCTTTTCCATTTATAATTTGAAGCCAAGTCAACCAGTGTGAACCTAGCAAGACTACAATTAACATCAGGTTATTTTGCAATAGTATTGTAGACAATCAAAGCTGAGTCAAAGTGATACTTGTTTCCTGTTTACATAAAAGCTATTTTATACAGCAACCAAAGTTACAGTGAAACTCCCAGTCAAGTGCTTCGAAAGTTTGCAACAGGAGCATACCTCTTGATTTTTCATGCCAGTATCCTAAGTTGCAATGGGGGCACTAGTGAAATATGTGTCAACCATTATATGATCTTTCCAACAAGACAGAAGCTAATTATCTCTCTTTGACATTCTACGGCATCACCATCATGGAATTCTCCCACTATCTATTTGTCTGGATGGATGCAGCTCCAACAATACAACAAACTCAAGCAGGATTAAAAAGAACCCGTTTGATTGTCACCTCATCCGTTACCTTGAATATTCACTCCCCTCACTACTGATGCACTGTGGCTGCAATGTGTACCCACCTACAAGGTGCACTGCAGCAATCCTCCCAGGCTCTCCCACCAGCACCAACCTCTCCCACCTAGAAGGACAGAGGCAGCAGATGCACGAGATGCCACCACTTGCAAATTCCACTCCAAACCACACACCGGCCTGGCTTGAAAATACATCACCACTCCTTCACTGTGACTAGGTCAAAAATCCTGGAGCGCCTTTCTTAACAATACAGTGGGCACACCACACCCCCAGGACTGTAGCAATTCAAGAAGGCAGTGCACCATCACCTTCTCCAGGGGAGTTAGAGATGGATGATCAATGTTGACCTAGCGTCTGAAGCCTAAATCCCATGAACAAAAAAGTACTGTACATGGTTGCCCCAATTAGATACCTCAAAATCCTCCACAATGGCACGGTGGCTCAGTGGTTAGCACTGCTGCCTTATAGCACCAGGGACCCAGGTTCGATTCCACCCTCGGGCGACTGTCTGTGTGGAGTTTGCACATTCTCCCAGTGTCTGCGTGGGTTTCCTCCCACAGTCCAAAGGTGTGCAGGTTAGGTGGATTGGCCAGGCTAAATTGCCCAAAAAAGGTGTCTAGGGTGGGAAATGCAGAGATAGAGTAGGGGGTAGGTCTGGGTGGGATGTTCTCCGGAGGGTCAGTGTGAACTCGATGGGCCAAATGGCCTGCTTCCACACTGTAGGCATTCTATGAAGTGAACCAGTTACCAGCACTATAACCTTAAAACTACCCAATTCTGAGGGGACTTTCAGATCAATTGTATGCAGTTTTTCTTTTCAAAATTTACCTATATGTGTGACATAAGAAGAGGACAGAATCTGGTGGTCTGGGAGACAGATAATGCTATAGAATGCAGCCTTTATCAAGAACCACACATGTGCTGTGACCATGGCATCATAACCCTGTTCTACCTTTCAATCTCTCCAGTAGATTAATTTGTTTATCTATTTATTTTCAATGCTGAATAATCAAAGGACAAATAATGCAAAATTCAACACATTCATGCACCGCCCTGTACTTCATTGGAGCGTATATTTTCATCTCAGTTTTACAAAAAAAATTTAGTCTGCTATCCTGTACAAATCATATAAAACAAGCACAGAGATTACATCATTTGGCTCCATGTAAGTTAATACACTTGGAAAATGGACCATGTGGCCAATATGTAAACCCCTGTGCACTTCTCATTTCGGACATACATCTGAATTGGACTCCAGAATAGCTTCCAGAAGAGACGGGATAAAATTGGGTAAGTGGAATCCTGGTTTCAGGAATGGGGGAATATGTAGTTTAACATCTGCAATGAGATTATCCAGGGAAGACATTGGTTTTCAATGGACCAATGAGTGCTCCAAAACTAATCTCATTAAGAATACAAGCAACCACCTTACACTTCTTTCTCCTCTTGTCTCTAAACATGGGTTGCCATTTCTTTAAAAGCAAACTTATTAGGTAGACGCAACACTGAGTGTTTCAATTGCAACTCTTCTTTAGTCTACCATAACATGCAATGATTGTGACTGGCTGCATAATTAGATACAATGTTATAGACGACCATTCTCACAGACTTAAATAGAATCAAAAAAAAAATCTGCATCTTAAAAAAATAAAGGAGGAAAATATAGGCAAACATCCTCACCATTCTTCTGGAGAAAGTCAAGTGCATCACTGTATCCTTGTTTGCACAAATCCCGCATCATCTGCCAAACGGATTCAACCATATTGAATGAATAATTTGTCCAAATGAAATACAGATGCAATTGCTAATTTTACATAAATGCATTCACCTACTTTTTATGAGTACTGAATATGTCCATTGTGGAATGTGCAGTGAAATTTAATTAAACTTTTTTTATTGCATGAAAATGTATACAGTTGAAATAAAGTAAATTAATGAAGTAGCTTTTATCCACCTTAATCCAAGTTCCCAGTGTACTTTTATATCTCTTGGTGTTGCATCAGTCTCTTCAAATTTGCTGAAGAGCAGTCCAGCTTCTGGTTAATTTATATCCTGACTTCAAAAACCCATTTGTGGAACTGAAACCAGCCTGACTGTGTATCAGCTTAAGGATAAAAGTGGGAACTGTGCGAACATAACATAGCTGTGTATCTGTTGCAATGGAAAGCTTGTTCCAGTCAGAAACTCCAGTACTCCTGCTCCTTTATGTTTAAACGTTGGGGTCAGATCAGGATACAATTCATCTGATCCATGCAAACCAAGTGTTAGCGTTTACCTGCTCAAGATAACTCAGATTCTGCAGTGGATTTTGTAAATGAAGGTGCTTGTTTTAGGCCATGCATTACCTGTCCCTCTTTGCTGTATCAGCAAGTGATGAGTCAGAAAAAATAATAGGGATAGGGATTCTTTGCCATTTGAATGTCATTCTCATTCTGCAATTTAAAGATCAACATACTGAAAAGCTTACAGACTACAACATGTTTCATGCACCCTTCAACTCTTGAAGTTTAGAGATGATGGTCAGGTATAGCTTAATTGAGCCACATGAACTCCCCACGTACTGTGGGTGGGCCTACACCAAGTAGGCAGAAGCAATTCAAGGAGGCAGCATACCATCACCTTCTCAAGAGCCACCAGGAATGAGAAAGAGATTCTAGTCCAGCCAACGTAGCCTGTATCCCCTGAATAAATTAAAAAAAAACTTCCTTCCAATGATTCCCTTGGTACCGAATGCACAGGATTATAAAATGTGAACATTGATCAAATGCCCCAGGTAGTTTATCAGAAGTTCCTTATTAGATCTGAATACTACCAGTTCCTAATGCCCAAGGAAGAAGTTATAGCACTGACAGATACGCTACTGGATTTGTAATCCTGAGGCCTGGACTAGCTAATCTTATTAGGGAGTTCAAATCCCACCATGGGAGCTGGGATCACTTCAATCAGTTAATTAAATAGGTCTAAAATTGAAAGGCCAGTACAATCAGACTGTTGTAAAAACTCTTTTGGTTCACTGGTGATTCTTGGGCAAGGAAATCTGCTGTCTTTACCCAGTCTGAACTGTACATGGCTCCACACAATGCCAAGGTGGTTAATTCTTGAAAGTTCTCTGATATTGGATGCAACAAAAGCAAAACCCGTTCAGTCAACCCCACAAAGTCCTTTCTCACTAATATCTGGAAAATTGGGCCGAAATTAGGAGAACCGTCCAGCAGTTTGACAGTGATATTCACAGGATCATACCTCTCAGCCAATATCACCACACTCCGTGTCCATTCTGTCTCAAAGGCAGCACAGATCCATCAGAGGTGGTAGAACCATGGTATCCAGTGAGGAAGGTATAGCCTTCCGAGAACTCAACACTGATTCCAGACCCCACAAAGGCTCATAGCACCAGGTCAAAGGAAACCTTGCTGATTACCACCAACTGACCTCACTCAGCTGCTATTATTAGTACTCTTCCATGTCGAGCAACACTTGGAGGAAGCAAAAGATAAAGATATTTTGAGTTGGAGTCTTCAATACCCATCAAGTATGACCAAATTCCACCAACGTTCACCAAATCCTGAAGGACACGCTGGACCTGCAGGAGTTGGCTAGAGAAGCAACTCACAACATAAACCTACTTGGTATGATTCACTGTAATCTCCCTGCAACAGCTGCACCTGGTCATGAAGTATTGGTAGGGGTGACCTCTGCAAAACCCTATGGAAATAATGTATCCTTTGCACACTGAGGACACCCCCCATTATGTTGTGTGACCGTTCCAAGTGCAACTTCCAAGGGCTTCAGATCTGACCTAGCCACTCAAAATTGGGCATCCATGAGTTTTGTGGACCATCATGAGCAGCAGAAGTCTATTCAAACACAGCTGATAATGTTGAATCAGAGATAGTAGGAACTGCAGACGCTGGAGAATCCGAGACAACAAGGTGCAGGGCTGGATGAACACAGCAGGCCAAGCAGCATCATAGGAGCAGAGAGGCTGACGTTTCGGGCCTAGACCCTTCTTCAGAAAAGGGGGAGGGTCTCTCTCCCACTGCAACTCTCTCGTACCTCCCTGGACTGACCTATCCCCTTCCTAACTCCCTACCTACACTCACCTTTACTGGCTCCATCCCCGCCTCTTCGACCTGTTTGTTTCCTCTCCACCTATCCTCT